GGGGAGGGGCCCGCCGGCCGGCGGTGGGTGCCGAGGGGGCGAGCAGGGACCGGGGAGGTCCCATCCCCCCCAACCCTGCTCCGCCGACCCCGCAGACAACATCAAGGCCTACTTCAAGCGGGGGAAGGCCCACGCGGCGGTGTGGAACGTGGCGGAGGCGCAGGCTGACTTTGCCAAGGTGCTGGCCCTCGACCCCTCGCTGCGCCCCGTCGTCTCCAAGGAGCTGCGGAGCCTGGAAGCCCGCCTGCGCGAGAAGGACGCCGAGGACAAGATCCGCTTCAAGGGCATCTTCTCGCAGTAGAGCCCGCGGCCGCAGCGGAGAGCCCAACGCTCTCTGAACAGGTTCTTTTAGATATTCCACATGTGGAATGGTCATTGACGTTTATTAATGTTTAATACAAATTTTACTTCTTCGAAGGGGCCCGGGAGCTCGCCCCGGCCCGGTGACACGGCAGTGCACTTAAGTCGCAGTATTAAGCAGCGTACAGCAGTCGCAGCGCCCGGCTGAAGCGCAGTTTGAGGGTGAAGCTCCTGGCCGGGCTCTAGCCGATGCTCATCGTCACACCGAGAAGGGACACAGGGGGTGACACGAGCTCCAGCCCGCTGCTCCCTGCCAAGTTCTTTTAGTCATTATTTGATGTTTTTATATTTTATGTTGGGCTGAGCCGCTGTGCCTGGCCCTGGCCGAGCAGTTTACGGCCGTGGGGGCTTCGGCACCGAGCCTTAGCCCCGTCTTTCACCCCTTCACGTCTGTACTCCGCGTCCTGCACCGTCACTTCTCGAGCTGCTGCTATCATCCCACGACCATGTTTCCTCTGTACTACATCGCCACGTCGGCATCCTCAATATTTTATATAGAATAACTGCTTGTTCCCGCTATCTGTGTAAAACTCTGGTCGTGCTATGCCAAGATAAACAAAAGTAAAACGAGTCGCAGGCACCAGGTCCCTTAGAAAAATTGCTGGTACAGGTAAATCAGGTAGAACAGAGTTGCAGGGGTGAGCGCTCTGTGTCACAGATGTGTTGTAGCTGCTAAACGACTGCTCTAAGGTGTAGAGCGGAGACTCCAGCGGGTTCCACCCTGGCTCACGGTGTAAC